ACCTTGATGTAATTTTACGAGATCGGGGAATTCAATTAAGATAAGCACATGCTACTTATATCCAAAGTTCCAAAAGCGTTCTTAAGCGCCCTTCCGTCTTTATAAGCGGTAAGCGGGGGCACCGCTTCGCTTTGGGGCATAAGCGCCCATAAGCGGTGCGGCACTTGGGCAGGCGTGGATGAGTGTGCAAGTGGCAATTGCTGCGCTGCTGGCGGGGCACCAGGCGCTGCCAGTGCCGGTGGGGAGTCGCAGGCGGCGCCCGCCGTGGTGGAGCAGCGGCTGCCTGCTTTCGCGCTGCTCAGGTGGAGGAGCAACGCACAGGCGGGGAGCAGAGGAGCGGCGGCGCACAGGCGGAGGAGAGCAGAGGAGCGGTGGCGCGCATGCAGAGGGAGCAGAGCGAGGCGCGCAGGTGGAGGAGAGCAGAGGAGCGGCGGCGCGCAGGCGGAGGAGCAGTTGAGCGGCGGCGCGGCCTCGTGAGAGCGAGGACTGCCAACGGTGGTGGCTGCCTGTTTGGGCATCGTTGGGTGTTATAATGTTTAGATGGGCTAGTGGGCTTCCTCTCTTGATGGGCCGAGTGGGCTGTTATGGTACTGCTCTTCCTTTTATATTAACTCTCACATTTATGCAACTAAATCTCCTGATTTGTAGTTAGTGTGTAAACGCTTAAGCGACGCATAGAACGCTTAAGCCCGCTTAAGCGCTAAGCGGCGGGTCACCGCTCGCTTAGCGCTTAACGCTTTTTTTTTATAACTTTGCTTATATCTATAACGTTCATAGAATGAAAATTCCTTGGTGTTCTAAGATGAGGATAGCTTGAAAGATGCTAGTTATTTAGTTGAAGTTTATTTTAATACGTGGATTTTGATAAAAAAATATTCCACTTTGGTTTTATTTTCGTAATCACTACTCTAATTTAAGTAGCATTATGCTTATATATAATTCCTAGCATATGTGTGACCTATAAGGTTATAAGGTGCATTATTGGATCATTGGATTTGATGGCCCCAATGTTGTTGCCAGCAGTTTGATTAGTTCTCTTTATTTTATTGTCTAGTACCTTTTAGTATCCTATTATTGAGCATGTTATGCAGAATAAAGTATTTGCACATCTTTCTGAATTTAACCTATTTTACATTTTCAGCATGTTTCTCTGGAAGATATTCAAAAGAATATCAGGGAACTGGAGATCGATGATAACCGGAAGAAAGAATTGGCATGTGCCCTTCATGCTCAATTCAAAGATTGGTTATACGGTAAGTTACATGTTCTGATACAACTGTGATGATAGGTTGGTGTGATGGTGTCTACATGGCTTTTGTGTCTCTGTTTTGCTGTTTTTCTTTAGTTAGTCCACCATGTAACCTTAGCTCAAGTTGACTCATGCTAGATTTCTTTTGACTTGTGTTGTTGATTGCTTGCAAATTGTGTGGTCATTACTACACTCTAGTATCAACCGCCCAAAATTGTTTATTTAACCTTGTCGGGATTCCGAACATCTTGAGCTCTGGAGTTTTGAAACATGTTCAGGGATACTCTAGGAGATTCTTCAAGATGATTTTGCCTTGGCTGTTGTTTAATCATCTCTGAACTATACATTCAAATACTAAACACATTGATTCAAGTGTTGAGATTGGTCATTTACTTTAGCTGGTCATATGATCTTTCATTGCCTACTTCAGAAGTTGTACGGTGAACCCAGTGATTAGTAGTGACAACTCTAGGGGCTAGGGTAACGTTCGGATGATGTGTGGATTTGGGATAGGGATATGAATTGGTTATAATTTGGTGGTTTTGGGATAGGGATAGAAGTTTCTAGACCATTTCCTTGTTTGCATGCACTAGGTTATGTTTGGGATTAAGTCAAATCAAAGAAATAAAAATGGAGAAGAGAGAATTGCGTCTCCCTAAGAAGATCGTCGCCAAGCATCTTGTTGCTTCCACCCAGGCACATCATTATCCACCCACCCACCAAGCCTGCACCACCTGTCTTGTCTTATCCCTGGCACGGGTGGGCAGCAGCTCCGTGGGGAACCAAGATACAGCGGCTCTTTGCGCTGCTGGCTGCTGCTATTGTTTGAGCTCGCGTTGGTGTGGTAGGTGGTTGCTTCGGCACGTTTCTTGGCATCCTCCTTGCAGTGGCTGGCAAGGCGTCTGTGAGCTGCTTCTACTCAAGCTCAGCGAGGCGTCCGCGAGCTGCTTCTGCTCGAGCTCCGCAAGGCATCAGCACACTGCGTGGGCATGGCTGGGCAGGCGAACTGGGACCGGCACTCTCCTTGAAGATGGCGCAGTGGAGGGGTGTACTACTGGGTGCATCTCGCGTGGATGGAGGTGAAAGAGCAGCGCCCACACTGTGGAGGCAACGGCGCCAGCACAGTCTGCCTTGTTGATGCTGCGGGCTGAGGTTGATAAGGAACCGTATCCAGGTCATAGTTAAGTATCCCGGTCGTAACCCTAACCTTCCAACGGATTATCGACGGAAACATGTGGTGCTCCCTTCCAGCAAACTATGATGTCCGCCCGTCTCATTTCCCTTTCCCACACCATTGCCCATGAACCAAATGTCACCTCTCATTTCACTTTCCACACCATTGGAATCTTGTCCAATGCAAATGTATGTTCATTTTAATTTGAGTGAAATGCTTGAGTGATTGTTTAACAATTTTTTAATCTTGTTTCAGCTTCAGGGAATATCCGCCAGCTATACTGTTTGCAAGGTGAATAAGCATATGGGATTCATCTCTAAGTGCAATATGCATCAGTAAGATGCATCTATAAGCGCAATTGAATTCCGGGCGCCTCCGAAATCCAAAAGTGACTTCCAAGCTGACTTCGTGTTGCTTGCCCTGATGCACTTGGTATTTCAGCTGTAGTGTTTGTGGAGGGAAGTATGTATGTAACTGTAACGTTTTGTTTGTTCCAATCAGTTTTGTTCACTTTCCCCATTTTGTTGGCCGCAAGGTTTCTGTAAATCTTTGATATTGCTCAAATCTTTCTCTGGGAAAAATAACTTTTTATTTTTGACCTTCAGAGGGTCATTTAATCTACTGTGTGAACTGACGAGATCCGGGAGATTTTTTATTTTTTAATCCTTTTTAGATAATATTTTAATAATAATCGTCCCTAAAGTTTTTTTTTATAGATTTGACCCTTGTCGTGTCAGTGCCACTGGCGTCACCAAATAATGTTGTTACGCCACATGCATCGGTGCGGCAACATATGCCACGTTAGACGGTGTTTTTGACATGGAAAACGCTGCCACGCCACTCCCGTTGCCGTGGTAGTACTATTCTGTCGTTCCATCGGGAGTGGCGTGATAAGACAACTTTTAAAAAATCAGAACTTTTTGGCTTCATCGGGAGTGGCGTGACGAGACAACTTTTGAAAAATCAGAACTTTTTGGTATGATGTTGGATGAAGATGAAATTTATATAAAAATTGTAGTTCTTAATGAGCTCTGCAACTTTGTACTTTTTAGGGCCCGTTTGTTTGGGCTCATGGTGGCTCCGGCTCTTGCGTTCAGGCACTGTGTATTTCTGTGCATCCCAGTAAAAAAAGAGCTCCGGCTCCTCCACACAACGCAGAAACAGGAGGAGCTGCAGGAGCTGGGTCACGGTGGCTTCTCCGGCTCTCCAACAGGACTTGAACAGTGCGCTACAGGAGAGGAGCCAGAGCACTTCGGAGCTGCACAAACACTGCCTTAGTTTTTTTTCCATTTAGGACGTTAAGATGCTTAAAAAATGATATAAAATTTCAGAAGCTTAATAACCGCGTATATTGCTTATCGTATTAGAAAAATAATATCTTTTTTTTTTGTATGTTATCAAATTAAGATACTTTTTATATGAAAATTGTAGTTATCAATGAGATCTACAACTTGTAGTTTTGAGTTTTTATATTTGAGATAGTTAAGATGCACGAAAAAATAATATAAAATTTCAGCAGCATAATAATCGCGTACTAGCGCTTGTCGCATTAGAAAATAATATCTTTTTTTGTATGGTGTCAAATTAAGATACATTTTATATCAAAGTTGTAGCCCTTAGTGAGATCTATAAGTTTATAGTTTTGAGTTTTCATATTTGAGGTCGTTAACGTACTCTAAAAACTAATAAAAAGTTTTAGCAGCATATTAATCGTGTATCAAAGCTTATCTTTTTAGAAAAATCGTATATTTCTTATTTGATGTCACATAAAAATACTTTTTTAAATAAAAAGTTGTAGATCTCATTGAGAGCTCCAATTTCGATATAAAAAGTACATTTATTTGAAATGATACCAAAACAATATTATTTTTCTAATGCGATAAGCACTAGTACGCGATTACTATGCTACTGAAATTTTATATTATTTTTTGAGCATCTTAACGACTCCAAATATGAAAACTCAAAACTATAAAGTTATAGATTTTATTGAGAGCTGCAACTTTGATGTAAAAAAGTATTTTCATTTGACACTATACGAAAAAGATATTATTTGTTTAATGCGACGAGCACTAGTACGCGGTTATTATGCTTCTGAAATATTATATTATTTTTTGAGCATTTTAACGTCCTTAAATGAAGAAACTCAAAACTACAAAGTTGTAGATCTCATCGAGAACTATAATTTTCATATAAATTTCATCTTCATCCGACGTAGTATCAAAGAGTTATGATTTTTTAAAGGTTTGGTTTTGTCACGCCATCGGGAGTGGCGTGACAGAACAATACTGTCATGCCAGCGGGAGTGGCATGATAGCGTTTTCCACGTCGGAAACGCCGTCTACCATAGCGAATGTTGCCGCGCCAATGCATGTGGCGCGATAACGTTATTTGGTCGGCACCGGCACGACTAAAAAGGTTAAATCCGCAAAAAATATTTAGTTGCGATTATTATTAAAATATTAAATAAAAAAGGATTAAAAATAAAAAAATCCCCGAAATATTGCTCAGGTGAGTGATAAATTGACAGTTTTGGAGTTTTCCGGACATTATTATTCAGCGGAGCAATTCAGAATGCCGTCAACGTAACGCGTGCACCTCGTGTATGTTGTACTGTAACCTCACTCCGCCATGTACACTATCCTCAGGCCTCCGATCCTGACCCTCCCCTCCACGGGCACCAACGTCACCGTGACGCTGTCGTCTCCGGCGGCGCCTAGATCCTCCAGCTGCTCGTTCAGCGCCACCCTCATGCTGGTCTGCACCACCACCTTGCCGGGGTGCTTCAGGGACACAAAGCTTGCGGCCATCTCCCGACCGCCGGGGCCGACCTTCTCGTGATACACTGCGTTCACGTACACGTCGAACTTGACAAAGCCAGCGCCGTCCGCCTCGATGCCCTCGACCACCAGCACCTCCTCCTCCCACTGCCCTCGTGGCTTTCCCAGCCGCCGGCTCGCCTCCGCGGTCACCGCGGCATCGAGCGACACCGGAAAGCGGACGGACTTCAGGTGCGGCAGCTGGCCTCTTCCGCGGTTCACGTCGGCGCGGGTAGTAGAGCTGCCCGTGGAAGAGCGACGGCAGCGGCGCGTTGGTGACCATCTGTTTATACATGATGCGGAGGTTGAGCTGGATTTGCTGCTCGTCGGTGCAATTCTTCTCCACGTACGAGAAGTCGAGGTCCACGAGTCTCGGTGGCGCGTGCTCCGGGTTCCGCATCGGGTCGTACAGCGGGGACGCGACGTCGGCGAACTCCGGCGGCATCCGCATCCCCTCCGGCACGTCCCAGCTCCAGAACGGCACGGCGAAGCCGGGGTCGCCCAGGAGCCTCGCCGCGACGCGCTCGAAGAAGTAGAGGTAGGCGCGGTGGAACGGGAAGAAGAGCCACGAGTAGTGGATCTGCAACGGCAGCTGCGGCCGCCCCGCCTGCCGGTACGCGGCGGCGCAGTAGGCGCAGTGGACGTTGGCCTGCTGGTAGAAGCTGCGCGGGTCCGACTCCGGCAGCGCCTTCACCAGCGCCACTGCGCGCGCGTACCGGGCTACGCTGTCCGTGCCGGGCTCGTGCGCCGGCTGCCGCGTCCGGAGCGGCTCGCCTGGGTCGGGGAACGTGAAGTTGGTGACGGGAGCGTCGGACGCCGGCGCCGGCGGGCAGCATCGGAACGGCGGGAGCGCGTGGGATGGGAGGTCGGGCTCGCCGCACGACAGCAGGTCGGTGACTATGGGCCTGCCGCCAGTGGCGGGCTTGTTGCCTCCGTCGCCTTCCGACAGGTGGGCGTTGGAGTTCGAGCCGTCGTCGTCGCAGGAGGTGAGGTGAAGGTCGAGGCCGGTGGCGGCGAGGATGGTTCTTGGCAGGGAGTAGGCGCATGGCCTTGTGACGAGAGGGGAGCAAGGTGGTGGCCGCGGAGGCGAGGGCGCAGAAGAGGACGATGCGGAATGCGATCAGCAGAGTGCTGTTGCTACCTGCCATATCCCAGACACGGAGTATATACTACCAGTACCAGTGAAGCAGAGCTGTGTACCAAACGGGCCCTTTGGTGCTTCGCGCCTAAAGCTTTACCAGGCATTCAGGCTCGGAAATGGAGAAGCTGGCCGGAAAACACACACATGCGCGCACCTATATATACTCCACGTCCTAGATAGATAGGGGCAGAGGCCGAGAGGGACAGAAAAAAAAAAATGCACCCAGATCATTTTCTTTCTTACAAGGTAATGACTTTAACACAGCCGGCCACTTTTATTGACGCAGCGCACGCACACGGCCAACGCGTCTCTCCCCATGCGCGGCACCTTGTTCCACCTCGCGCCCGACGCGACGCCTTCTCCCCACGTGGCTCCTTCCTCTCTCCCCTCCGGCGGCGGCGGCGCCAGCGAGGTAGGCGGCTTCCTCCTCCTCCTAGATCTGCGAGTTAGGGTTCTGACGAGCTCTTCCTCTCATCTCCCCCAACTCCAGCGGGCTTAGAAGGGAAGGTTCGGGGGAGGAAGGCCGGCCAGACGGTGGGGATGGTTGGAGGACGTTAGAGGCCCTGGCGGCGGTGGAGGTGGCCGGGCCAAGTCAGGGCGGGGGAGCTCCGGCGAGAAGGGGTGTGGGAGAAGGCGCCACGGGCGCGCTAGGGCTTCGTCGGACCGCGACGGGGGGGAGCAGTAACGGTAGGGGCGAGGTCGCGGAGAGGGAGCAACTGGCGAGAGAATTAAGAAGGCGGCCGTTCTGCAGGTAGGTGGGAGGGCGCTGGAGAGGGAGCCATAGTGATGAAAGTTGTTTGCACTTTTTTCAGTACCTAAGAGTTTTGAAAATAGAAACATGAAACTTCCACCGAAACTGACATAACAAGTAGTAGTAGTTGGATAGTGGTTCAATGTCAAATATCGGTGAATGACAAACAAGTTGGTTTCAAAAACTTGGTAACCAGCAAACCTGTATGATATAAATATCAGTCATCCCCCTCTCCCCCTCCTCACCCCCCCCCCAAAAAAAAAACAACTAATTGATGTGGCTAGCGGCGGGTAGTTTGTGCTGAACGTTGGGTTCTACGAATTGCTAAAGTACTAGTGTAGGTGATGGATCACAATCGAGAGAGCACCAATCGTTGGGAGTTTTCTTCTCTTAGGAAGTTCTAACGTTTTCGTTGGTTTATTTGTAAGCGTGTGACAGACTGATAGCACATATATGCATGTAGGATTGTAAGTGGTGTGTTTATGTCAGTGTCAGAATAAAATACAAAACTAGCAAAATATGTCCGTACTTTGTTACCGGTAAACTTTTACATTTTTAATTATAACTTCTAGTTTATGAAGTTTTATGTTTTTAGTCACGATTAGTTTTAATTTGATTTTTATTGGTGTAGTGTGTTCGGATTTTAATTTTTCATCATTCGGCTTCCTGAGTCTATTTTTCTTATTCTAATTTTTTAGGCATGCTTTTTAAGGCCATTGTTCATTTTTTTTTGCCTAAGTAGCCATTTATGATTGTCGTGGTGCATCCGGTGGAAACTTGAAAGTGTCGGGCTACACTAGGATGGCAACGGGGAATTCCCTTTCGGGACGTTTCCCCATCCCTATCTTCGCAACTTATATGCTCGTAATTTAGTGGTTGCTTTGTTGGCCTCTAGGCAAACTGCAACCCTCATACGTGCGATTTTGACTGTCTAGGGCCACTATTGCTATTTGGCCAGCAGGTTGCCTTGGAGTTTAGAAAGCAAAAAAGCTCTCTAAGATATTAGCAAAAAAGACTAGCTAAATTTATTGATTTAGCTACTCTCTAAAATAGATTTGACAAAAAAAATACTAGAGCACTCCAATAGACCCTTTAAAGCCAAAAGACTAGATGACTAGTGAGGTAGGCTATCCAAAAGTAGAGAGCGAATGTGGTGGGATGAAGAGCCACTAATTTTGGAGAGTCATTTACATAGTCTGTTGGAGACATTTTTCTTTTAATAATAATCAAATTTATCTTTAGAAAACGATTTGGCTAATCTCTTGGAGATGCTCGTTGCTTTCTAAATTTGGTGGAGTGGTTCATTGAAAGACCGTATCGTATTAATATCGTATTCGACCCAATGAAAATTCTCTTAGCATATCTCCATTCCAATTTATAAAATATTTTAATTTTTCTAGATACATTGCTTTTGTTATGTGCTTAGATATACACTATGTCTAACTACATAATAAATAATGTATATCAATTTTTTTCAACGCACATAAATGTTCATATGTCATGCACAGCTATATGAAAACGAACGGTCGAACCAACTAAATTGATTAGAAGGAAACAATTATAATTAAGCTTTGTTATGACACACCCAACCCAGAGACTAGATACTTTCTATGTTTATTAATTAGGATGTCAACTAGAGAGAGAGCTTCTTATAGATCAAAAATATGTGTACACAAGAACTCAGATATGAAGACATGTGATAGATAGATAATGGAGAGATAAGATATATGTTTGGACAAAAAATTATTGAGAAACTATCTATTGAAAATATGGTTTCTATATGTAGTGTCTATTATTTTGCTGGCATAAAAACTAGCCGTGGTTTTTAGCACTGAGACTGCCCTTAAACTAAAAATGGAGGAGGGTCACTATAACTTGTGTCTAGCTTTTGCACAACCTGTAATTATTTTAATCTGCATGAGAAAGGTATGGACAACTACTATGACTTGATGTTTTTCCTTTTGAGATCTTGACCGCCAATGAAAAAGATTAGGATATCCTGCAATGATGCAACAAAAGTTGCCGGAGAAAAAATTGAGGCAAGAACGAAAAACCAGAGCAGGTAGAACTTATAATAAAAACAAATTGCTATCGAGGAGGTTTTGCTGCCCATTACGGGGTTGCTTATGCAGTGTTGGATCTAGAATTTTAGCGTAGGGTACACCGCATACAAAATTTTATATGCAATTCGATAAAAACCATTTACCAATTCGGTGAACAAGAACTAAATAACTTAAGTCTTAAATTTACTTAATTACAATATATAGTTCATAGTTCAAAATATAGGCATAAAAGAGACCTACAATATTAATGTATGTTGGGCCAAACCCGAACCAATCTCGAATCTAGTGACAGACGATCTGGCTAATCTGCATGATACACAAATAATTATTTATAAGTAATTATATATGCAAGTTTTTTTAGAAAACAATAGTTGATTCAACAGCATGGCAACAAACCATGACGCTTGATGGCCTCTGGTTGAGACTCCATGCGATGGGCTAGCGCCTAGCGGTCGCGTGCGGCCAGCGGTGTGCGTGCGATGAACCGATGCCCGATGGTCGATTCACGTGTGACTAAGCAGTGATTAAATAGGATAAACAAATGATTAAACAGACACTACAGTGTTCCATGCAAGATATAGAATTTTTCATGACATGATGAAAATTATCCTTTATGATTTTTTATATATGAAGCAAAAGGAAAAGGATTGTATTTTTTAATTATCTCTATGTTTTTATTACTTAATTTACGAATCTCAAAGATACAACAAAATCTTTAGAAATAACATTTTAGCTATAAACTTCTATGGATTTTATTCTTTTCTTTGGATCCGAAATAGAAGAAACTCGAGCAGCCCTTGCACAAGCTGATTGGGCGCATAAAATAAAAATGTTCCTACCTACCCTACCTCTATCTATTTTAAAACATGGGATCTCAGCAGAACATAGAGTTGATGACTATGTGCAACATAATATAAGCAACCAAATACAACTTTACCAAATATAGCTAGACTGTGCAGGATAACCAAACATTAAGACATTGCATATGTTTATGCTGTTTTGGGTTGTGCAACATAAGGTATAATGCAAGTAAGACTAATGCAATCAATCCATGGCACCTATATAAAACAACAGTTTGCCTAAAGTTGATCAGAGAGGTAATCATGGTCTTATCCCTAACGAACATTATTAACCAAATAAAATGTAAACCCTAGGCAACAACAACGATCTTTCTCAATTCCCTTCTCGTGCACGTTTCTCTCTCTCCACGCCACAACTCAAGCAAGCTGGCTCTTGTTGAAACTTATGTTATTGTGCTATGGTAGTCATGATGTTTAAGCCATACATTAGGAGTTGCAAACTCAGATTTGTCTCGATCCTACGCGACAGGAACGAAAACAAAGAGGTCAGACATGCATGGTGTTTTATCCTGCACTTCTGTTATAAAATCAGAACAATAAAAAAATTTCCACCATTTTTTCTGTGTATGAATCCTCCATTCTAAAGACTTTTCTCTATAGGGATTACAACCTTCTATTTTCCTCCAAGAATCCTTCAATCCTAAGGAGGCCTCAAATACAAGAGTTCTACTTGTACCCATGACATTGTTCAGGATTTCTTTGTGACAAAATCAACAAAATGAATTATATGCACGAACCAACATTTCTTTCTCCAGACAAACAACAAAGAAAGATGCTACGCGTACTCGGATCATGGACCCAAGGGAATTTTACACCAGCTTTGTACTCAAGTTGGCATCAAGCCATCAAGCATTTGAGGAGCATAGCAAGCAGAGGAAGTGTCATGGTTCGTGGACTGTCTTTTGGGCCATTCTCATGTAGCAGAGTTTGCAGGTTGGCTTTCCTTGGGCCATGGCCCATGGAAACATTCAACCTTCCACTACAAAAAGGAAAGCCGGCACCAGCAAGAAAGGCCTAGGAGCTCAGAACACCGAAGTACCGAACCGACAGCGAGCTGTGCGGCTCGAAGCGAGTACTGTATTCTTTCCCTCTCTTTTTCGTCCTTCCAAATAATGGCCTAATATGGACTAAAAATGCTTTTAGTGGTGTACTCTTCTCGGTCCTAAAAAAATATAATTATATGTATCAATTTAAACAAATATTTTTTCCAGATTCATATCATTGACTATATTTTTCCAGATTCTTTATTCATGGCTAAGCTCCGCAACTGCTCTCAATAGTCACTGCCGTCCCTTGTATCAGAATGTTTTAAAACTCGATTTGTGCTTGGGTT